AAAGAAGACTCCAGGTAATGGGGATCAATTTCTCTTTCCTTGTCCAGAAAAAATTGAGAGTTTGCTACAAATTTGCACACTTCTTTTAGCAAAAGCAAAGTAAAGCAGTAAAATTAGCTGGAGCAATTTGGTTCGGGCTTGTTCGAGGGTGTGAGTGTGTGTGTATGTGTGTGTGTGTGCACATGAACACATGCAGGGGGAAGGCAGTGGCAGGTGAAGTGCTCTCCCTCCACCTCATTTTAAAGTACTCTCCAAGACAGCAGTTTGGATAAATAAATTTTATTTTAGTATTCTAGTGGTAATTTACCACCTATCACAGATTAGTGCTCCACCAATTCCTTGTTTTATTCTCAATCTAGATCCTGCCGAGAAATTAAAGTTTGATCCAAACTGTATAATGGCGAGATTGTGAAGGTTTGACAGCACAACGAGGTGGAAGTTGTAGCCTCAGTGACTTTAAAAGTCAGAAGAGAGAGGAAATGGAAGCTAAGAGACCACCAGTACAAAACTGATCAAGGCCACTAATTAGCAGGATTTGAATTGAAAAAATAAAACAAAACAAACAACAACCATCCTGTATTTTAGGCCTGGTTCTTCCTCTTACAAGCAATGTGATTTTAGGCAAAACTCTTAACTCAGTTTTATCATCTAAAACCCGGAGATTTTTATTTAGTGTTTGTTGCTGTTTGTTGTTTTTTTCCCACAAAAGTATATGTGTACGCATATAATCTCATATAGTGTTTATCATGGAGCAAGGACTAGGCACTTTAAAAATATTAACTCATTTATTCCTCATACTTGTGAAGTAGGCACTGTTATTATTTATTTTGCAGATGAAGAAAGTAAGGTACAAAAAGTTAATCATACAACTAATAAGTGGCAGGGCTGGGACTGGAATCCTGGTGGTCTATTTCCAGAATCTGTATTAGCCATTGGCTATTTCTTAGTCAATCTACAGAATTGCTATGAAGATTAAGTGGGGGCTGAGCCCGTGGCGCACTCAGGAGAGTGCAGCACTGGGAGGGCAGCAGCGCTCCCGCCATGGGTTCGGAACCTATGTAGGGATGACCAGTGCGCTCACAGCGCTCACTGGCTGAGCGCGGTGCAACCGGTCTCAAAAAGGACAAAAAAAAAAAGAAAAAGATTAAGTGGAGGCCAGCCGGGCAGTGAATGGTGGGAATCAAGATGGCGGCGGCAGCGGCAGCAGCCAGTATTCGGGAAAGGCAGACAGTGGCTTTGAAGCGTATGTTGAATTTCAATGTGCCTCATGTTAAAAACAGCACTGGAGAACCAGTATGGAAGGTGCTCATTTATGACCGGTTTGGCCAAGATATCATCTCCCCTCTGCTATCTGTGAAGGAGCTGAGAGACATGGGAATCACTCTGCATCTGCTTTTACACTCTGATCGAGATCCTATTCCAGATGTTCCTGCAGTGTACTTTGTAATGCCAACTGAAGAAAATATTGATAGAATGTGCCAGGATCTTCGAAATCAAATCTATGAATCATATTATTTAAATTTTATTTCTGCTATTTCAAGAAGTAAACTGGAAGATATTGCAAATGCAGCATTAGCAGCTAGTGCAGTAGCACAAGTAGCCAAGGTTTTTGATCAGTATCTCAATTTTATTACTTTGGAAGATGATATGTTTGTATTATGTAATCAAAATAAGGAACTTGTTTCATATCGTGCCATCAACAGGCCAGATATCACAGATACAGAAATGGAAACTGTTATGGATACTATTGTTGACAGCCTCTTCTGCTTTTTTGTTACACTGGGTGCTGTTCCTATAATCAGATGTTCAAGAGGAACAGCAGCAGAAATGGTAGCAGTGAAACTAGATAAGAAACTTCGGGAAAATCTAAGAGATGCAAGAAACAGTCTTTTTACAGGTGATACACTTGGAGCTGGCCAATTCAGCTTCCAAAGGCCTTTATTAGTCCTTGTTGACAGAAACATAGATCTGGCAACTCCTTTACACCATACTTGGACATATCAAGCATTGGTGCATGATGTACTGGATTTCCACTTAAACAGAGTTAATTTGGAAGAATCTTCAGGAGTAGAAAACTCTCCAGCTGGTGCTAGACCAAAGAGAAAGAGCAAGAAGTCTTATGATTTAACTCCAGTGGATAAATTTTGGCAGAAACATAAAGGAAGGTAAGTAAGAAAAGTATCAGTAATTAAGAGATTTATCCCTTAAAGAGAAATGAAGAAATCATCTGACCTAATGGATTTGAGGGAAAAAAATGAAAGGGTAATAATGGTGGTTCATTCACACAGTGAGTAGGAGCTGTAATTAAATAGTCCATAGATATGTATTTATATTGCTCTATTTCTTCCTGATTCTTGGGTTGTTTTTTGTTGTTGTTTTGTAGAGGCCACTTCTGTTTTCAGTAAGCTACTTACATATGATTTTACAGATACCTAAGTTTTGTTGCTATCTCCACTGAACCCCTATAAAACCTATCTCTGCCTTTCACTGAAAGGGTTTTGTGATAGGGAAACTTTGAGGTTGGGTTTTTTTCTTATTGTTCTGTATTTACCCTCATACAACCCTGTTTTAGATGTCTGTGGGACTAGAAGGGGAAGATGAAGGAGCCATAAGTATGCTTTCCGACAATACTGCTAAGCTAACATCAGCTGTTAGTTCTTTGCCAGAACTCCTTGAAAAAAAGAGACTTATTGATCTTCATACGAATGTTGCCACTGCTGTTTTAGAACATATAAAGGCAAGAAAACTGGATGTATATTTTGAATATGAAGAAAAAATAATGAGCAAAACTACTCTGGATAAATCTCTTCTAGATATAATATCAGACCCTGATGCAGGAACTCCAGAAGATAAAATGAGGCTGTTTCTTATCTATTACATAAGCACACAGCAAGCACCTTCTGAGGCTGATTTGGAACAATATAAAAAAGCTTTAACTGATGCAGGATGCAACCTTAATCCCTTACAATATATCAAAAAGTGGAAGGCTTTTGGTAAGATGGCCTCAGCTCCTGCCAGCTATGGCAACATGACCACTAAACCAATGGGTCTCTTGTCACGAGTCATGAATACAGGATCACAGTTTGTGATGGAAGGAGTGAAGAATCTGGTATTGAAACAGCAAAATCTGCCTGTTACTCGTATTTTAGACAATCTCATGGAGATGAAGTCAAACCCTGAAACTGATGATTATAGATATTTTGATCCCAAAATGCTACGGGGCAATGACAGCTCAGTTCCCAGGAGCAAAAATCCATTCCAAGAGGCAATTGTTTTTGTGGTGGGAGGAGGCAACTACATTGAATATCAAAATCTGGTTGACTACATAAAGGGGAAACAAGGCAAACATGTTTTATATGGCTGCAGTGAAATTTTCAATGCTACACAGTTCATAAAACAGTTGTCACAACTTGGACAAAAATGACACAGAAGAACCTTAATGTGATAATCTACTTGGAA